CAGTACCTACAATGTGAGCGACACGCCGCCTTCAAATCATCAACTTTTTACTATTTACCTGTATGTATATATTTGTTCTACTGAATTTTAATGACTTTGTTTTGAGAAGCATGACAATGCTTGTCCAACGGCTCATTTCATTAGGTACACCTGTACACATTTAAAAATATATATTTTTGTCGTTGTCAACAAAGATAATTCTATTTTTGATTCAGTTAAAAATAGTTTGTAAAAATCGAGGTTGTAATTTGCAATGGTGTACGACTGTACTGCATCATAGACCTAATATTTTGAACTGAAGGTGGTGTGCTGCTCAAAAAAAATAAATAAATAAATACTTCGAAGTGTCCAATTGTGATGCTGTAGAGTAAATCAAGTAAAGCTGCTGGTGTTTCTCACGTCAGTTGCTGGGCATCGCCAGATTCAACGATGGCACCGAGGCAGAGAAAAGGATTGACATCCGCATAAAGGTGCTAGACGAGAATGACAACGAGCCAAAATTTGACGCCATGAAGCCCGTCGACGTGTATGAACGTAGCCCTGCGGGTGAGAGAATTTGAGCAATAACACTTGAATCATACGGGTCCATGAAAGAAGAATTTTGTGGCATCTTGTGGCCTGATTAGTTGTCCTAAGTTCGATAATACCTGCTTGAGTTGTTTTTAATAAGGTACACTATTCTGGTCTGAATTTTCTATACCACTTATCCTGATCAGGGTTATGGAAAGCTGAAGACCATTCTAGCAGACAAAGGTCACAGTAATTAGAACATAAAATAAAGGAAAATGTCACACTTGAAGAACCCTAAACAAGTTTGCAGACAGGCCGAGCACTGCCGTTTCACTGCAGTCCAGTAGATGGCAGTGTAGTATTACAAAGTAGGTGCCAACTGACCCAGTCATGGGCTGGTTCTTTTTGTTTGGCTCCAGTTTTTTGGGTGTATTTTTTTAATTACCCTGTTTCGCAAACTAGCATGTCTCCTTCGTAGAGGAAAAAAAAAAACCCCAAAACATCTGACATACTCAGTATGTCTCTGTTTCCAGGGACGCCGGTCACAACTGTCACAGCGACTGACGCCGATGAACAGGGCAACCCCAACTCTCAGCTGCTCTACACCATCGTGAAGCAGACCCCACCTCATAACATGTTCCGCATGCACAACGATGGTAACATCTATGTGGACAAATCCACTCTGGATAGAGAGGTACCAGCTACTCTCAAAGAAATGAAATGTGCGTCATTTGTTCAGTCTGAAAAGCTTGCGAAACATTGTGGTTTTTGTGCTGTCAGACGACAGATCAGTACTTTGTGACAGTGCAAGCTCAGGACCTCAATGGCGACCCTGACGGCCTCACAGGAACCAGTACCTTGACCATCAATGTGCTGGACATCAACGACAACCTTCCAACGCTGGAAAAAGACGAGGTACTTGCCGTTATTTAAGAATGAAGGATGATCTATTTCCGAGTTAAAACTTGATGGTGGACGAGGCCAGAGAGGCAGGAGTAGGTCTGATTAGGAGTCGACTTTGAGTACTTTATGAGTGAGAACTGGAATGGGGAGCCAATGGATT